AAATTTATCAAAGTATGATTTCATGTGTTCACTGAATGTATTGTTTTCTTGAAAGAATTCAATTCTGATTAATCCTGAAGAATTTCCACGCACTTTCAACGGAACTTTGAAATTTCAAAAAATTGACGACGATTGGGATTTTTTCTTTTGCTCCCCGTTGCTGATTTGGCTGAAATTTAAAAATTTATCTTGGGAAGTAATAATCTTGGAAAGTAATAATCCCACAATCGCCACATTGAGCAATGTCATACTGAACCTTCGAATCTTGGAGTTAAACCCACTGCGTTTTTTGGTCAACCTTAAACCGGGCGCTGTGGATGTTTATATAATAATATTTATGTCAGGATTTAACACACGATTCGGTGGCCTAGTTGTTAAGGATACGGCCTAACATGTTGTAAGCGTAGGTTCGAATCCTGAGAGGGATAGGTTCGATTTTTCCCACTGAAATTACTATTTAATTTAAAATTATTCAAAAAGGATTTAGTCAAATAAAGAACAATAGCTTTTGAAAAATGATGTGGTGGTCTAGTGGTTAATGCGTTGGTCTCCCAACCCGAAGACAAACGTTTCAACTCCTGGCAACGCAAAAAAAATAACTTGAAAAATTTCTGCATGATTTGGAATGCTTAAAGCAGTAAAAAACTCCTCGGCCTATGCGAAAGACTGAAAATTGAAAAAAATTTGAAATAAAAAAAAACTTTAAAAAGAAATTCTTGCGTTCGAGAGTACCTGAAAATTGAAAGAAAAGCACAAGTTAAAAAAGTGTTAAAAACATGTGTCTTCTAAAAAGCCTAAAAATGAAGAAAGTCAGACGGAAAAAAATTTAACAATTTCCCGCTTTTAAAAAACTCATGTTTACATAACTTAAATTTTTTTCACGAAAATTTGACAGGGTGATTTTCTCGAGACTGAAAAAATTTAATTTTTTTCACTTTTTTGAAATTCTCTTAGATTTTTTTTTGGACGCGAAAGTATTTTGTCTTGGGCTACCTGTGTCAAGCCAGACACAGGTAGCCCAAAACAGACACAGGTAGCCCAAGACAAAATACTTTCGCGCCGAAAAAAAAATCTAAGAGAATTTCAAAAAAGTGAAAAAAATTAAATTTTTTCAGTCTCGAGAAAATCACCCTGTCAAATTTTCGTGAAAAAAAAATTAAGGTAAGTAAACATGAGTTTTTTAAAAGCGGGAAATTTTTTAATTTTTTTCCGTCTGACTTTCTTCATTCAGTTCAGGCTTTTAGAAGACACGTGTTTTAAAACTTTTTTAATTGTGCTTTTCTTTCAATTTTCAAGTACTTTTGAACGCGAGAATTTGTTTTCATTTTTTTTAATTCAAATTTTTTTCAATTTACAGTCTTTCGCAAAGGCCGAGAAGTCTTTTAACTCTTTTAAGGCTTCCACAAATCACACCGAAATTTTTCAGGCCAATTTTTTTGCATTGCCAGGAGTTGAAACGTTTGTCCTCGGAGTGAGAAACGAATGTCTTAACCACTAGACCACCGCATCATTTGTCGAAAGCTATTGTTCTTTATTTGACCTAATTCTTTTCGATGAATTTTAAATTAAATAGTAATTTCAGTGGGAAAAATTGAACCTTTCCCATGTGGGACTCGAACCTACGCTTACAACCAAGTAGGCCGTAGCCTTAACCACTCGGCCATCGGATTATATGTTGATAGCAGCCTTAATATATACGTTATAGCGGTAGCCCAGTGGTTAAGGCTACGGCCTACCAGGCTGTGAGGGTATGTTCGAATCCTCATGGGAAAGGTTCGATTTTTTCCACCGAAATTACCATTTAATTTAAAATTCATCGAAAAGAATTAGGTCAAAAAAAGAACAATAGCTTTCGACAAATGATGCGATGGTCTAGTGGTTAAGACATTCGTTCCTCACTCCGAGGACAAGCGTTTCAACTCCTGGCAATGCAAAAAAATTGGCCTAAAAATTTTCGGTGTGATTTGGAAGCCTTAAAACAGTTAAAAGACTTCTCGGCCTTTGCAAAAGACTGTAAATTGAAAAAAATCTGAAACAAAAAAAATGAAAACAAATTCTCGCGTTCAAAAGTACTTGAAAATTGAAAGAAAAGCACAATTAAAAAAAGTTTTAAAAACACGTGTCTTTTAAAAAGCCTGAACTGAATGAAGAAAGTCAGACGGAAAAAATTAAAAAATTTCCCGCTTTTAAAAAACTCATTACTTACCTTAATTTTTTTCACGAAAATTTGACAGGGTGATTTTCTCGAGACTGAAAAAATTTAATTTTTTTCACTTTTTTGAAATTCTCTTAGATTTTTTTTGGACACGAAAGTATTTTGTCTTGGGCTACTGTGTCAAGCGGACACAGTAGCCCAAGACAGACACAGGTAGCCCAAGACAAAATACTTCCGCGTCAAAAAAAATCTTAGAGAATTTCAAAAAAGTGAAAAAAAGTGAATTTTTTCAGTCGAAAATCACCCTGTCAAGTTTCGTGAAAAAAAATTATTAAGGTAAGTAAACATTAGCATTAAAAGCGGGAAATTTTTTTAACTTTTTTTAACTTTTTTCAGTCTTTTTAAGAGACACATGTTTTTAAATTTTTTTTTACTTGCGTTTTTTTGGCAATTTTCAAGTACTTTTAAGAAGCGAAAATTGTTCAAAGTGTTTCTCTGATTATTTTTTACTTCCAATTTCTTTCAAATTTACAGCCTTCTTGCTTCTTGAAGGCTGGGAATTCTAACTTTTGAAGCTCACAAATCATACCGAAATTTTTAAGGCTAATTTTTTTTGCATTACCAGGACTTGAACATGTGTCCTAGGATTGAGAGACCAAGGTCTTAACCACTAGACCACCCCGTCATTTGTCGAAAGCCTATCGTTCTTTATTAGGCCTAACCCTTTTCAAAGAAGTTTAATTAAACTGCTTTAACCAGTAGACTACACCAGCGAACCTGCGGTGAAAGGCTACACCTTTTTATATTATTTAATGCCTTTTTGGTAGACTCTCAAATGAAATAACAATTTAAATATATAGGTTCAATTTAATGTTCATGATTGATTTTCTCGTCTAAAACGCACACAACCTTAAAGCGTGCCTGTGCCTTAGAGCACTATCTTTCCATATAGGTTAGTTATATGCGGCGCAAGTGAAGCTAATGGTTACGGTGCGATTGTTTTTTATTTTTAATAAAGTGAAGTCAAAGTAAAGTACAAGAGTTAACATTGCATTTCAAAATAGGTTTAAAAGGAAAAAAGTACAAGGATTAAGGATGTATTTCAATGTGTATAACCGGCGTATATATATAGTCATGAGGCAACAAGCATGCAACTCGTAGTCTCGTAGATTACATCTGAAATCGCAATTGAAGCAAATATTCAGTCTAGCAAGTCAAAAAAAATTTAAAAACATGTGTCTCTTAAAGACTGAAAATTAAAAAATGTCCGACTAAAACTTTAAAAAAAGGTAAAAAATTTTCCGCTTTTAATGCTAATGTTTACTTACCTTAATAATTTTTTTTCACGAAAACTTGACAGGGTGATTTTCTCGAGACTGAAAAAATTTTTTTCTCTTTCTACAAAAATCTACCAAGATCATGTTTTTATTTTTCAAACGAATGATGGCTCTTGCCTCCATGTATTCTATCGGAATATTTTATAGTTGTATGGTGTTTGTCGTTTAATATGGAGCATTATTCGAGAGGGCACTGAGGTTGTCAAGTCGGTACCGATAGAGCAGGGTAATAACCTATAGTCGTGGTTTACATAGTTCCGCGCCAAAGCCAAGGTCGAGTGAACTCTGGAGAAAATGAAAATACCTCGCGCTGACGCACGGACAACGGTTATTCTCCAACAACAGCCTCGTACCCAGGCGCTTTACTGGAAAACATAAAGGCTGCATTCAGCGTAATATAGAGATCTGTGCGAGCACGCAGAGGTGCTTGGGTAGGACGCGGCAAATAAAGCTTCGCTCTCCTGTCGCGTCCTTCCCAACCATCCCTGCACGCTCGCACGTTTTAGCCACAGATCTCTATATTACGCTGAATGCAGCCGTATGTTTTCCAATAAAGCGCCTGGGTACGAGGCTGCTCCAACAATATAAGTAAATCTAATTTGAATTATTGTATAAAGTCTAACTTTAGCATGTGTGTGCTCAAACTGAAACAATTACGGTACAAAAAGAGCTTCGAATACAAATTTTATCTAATATTATATATAAGACTTTAAAAAACAACATGCGATCATTATTACTCCGATCATTAATCAACATTTATTCACCCGATCATTATAAAATTGACAAAGTGCCACAAACTAAAGTAGTCTGAATGAGTTGTAAATACAGGATACATTCAACCGCAGAGTATCGTATACTTTTAGATTAAAGAACAGAAGTAAATATTTAGCAGTAAACAAAATATGGCTTGCTTTCTACAGGATGAGCTATTTTGTAAAGTCGGCCGTTTTCAGCAGCATAATCATCACCTTTGAAGCCATCTTGCATGTCGCCAACTAAAAAAATGTAAAGTTGGTGGTAGATGATGCTTACTGAGTAAAGATAACGATCAAAGATCGGAGGACTGCAATAAAAATCAAGATTTGCTGAACCAGAAAATCTGTTACAAGCTTGACTTTCAAGTTTTCTTGACAAACATTTCAAGTTTTGAGGCATACGGATTTGCATTAGACCTTTTTGGATTATTTTTGGATTGACATACCATTGCTACACACTTGTTTTCTACAAATTCCATGATGCATCTTAAACCAGGTTGGACATTTTCTTGTTTTGCAACAAAATTGTTTGTACGGACGACGAACTTTATTCCAGAGATCGAAGAAGTTGCAATAACAATTATTATGGTTATTGTTGTTGTTGTTGTTGTTATTGTTGTTGTTATTATTATTGTTGTTGTTATTGTTGTTGTTGGCTCTTTTTCGTCTGCACAGACAATTGTTGTGGTTGTTATTATTATTATTATTGTTGTTGTTGTTGTTGTTATTGTTGTGTTTTGTTTGTTTTGTTGTTGTTGTTTGGGCTTCTCTTCCTCCCGTGGACTGAAGTTGGATCTCTGTGACTTGCGTAACACCCAAGTTCTCCTTGATGAGAATCATATACCTCATTAATCTTTTTGCATAGGTAACTATAGCTGTTGATATAGTCTAAAACAATCAATACAATCTATTAACAATTGAGCATACATTGAACCATTCATTGAACCATATTTGATATTTACTCACATCCACACTTTCTCTGGCACGCCAATGCGCATGCGTGTGAATCCGAACTTCCTCGACACGAGATTTTTCGATAATCGACATAAATTTTGGAGTTATGCTTATCACCGATCCAACAGTAACAAGGTTCTGTACAATACCGGTTGTTGTTGTTGTTATTGTTGTTGTTATTGTTGTTATTATTGTTGTTGTTATTGTTATTATTATTATTGTTGTGTTTTGTTGTTGTTGTTGTTGCTGAACCATCCCCGCTTTTCTCGTACAGGATTTTTCCTATCCGTGGAACTACAATAAAAGAAAGAAAAAAAATTGCAAATCAGCAGCGGGCAGAATCCTAGCCTTTTCTGCAATCTGATTGGCTGTAATCTCGGCCTGCGTTTTCGAATCGTTTTTGATACCCCGGGAAAATATTTTTCTATCCGGACCTCGCAGCCGGTAAATAACATATATATGATCTTGATCTTGGTTGTGCACGCCGTTTGGTTGTGGAGGCTGAGTTGAGGGAATCTTTGTACATTTGAACACAAATCATGGCAGCTAATAAAGGATACGCAGGCGTTCCATTTGACTTAAATTTATATACTAGAAATGAATTATCAGTCTTCATCGAAATTTTTAGAAGAAAACTATCGTTTGCCTAACAATCGGTTAGAATTTAAACGCAAGCAAACAAACGGATCATTCATCCTAACAAACTTTTTCTAAAGTTTTTTTTCGCCCTAAAAAGTTCTCATAGACAAAACAAAGTAATTCGTTGTTATGGGGAAATCGACATATTAAAACCGAATGACAAGAAATTACAATATGTGAATTACAACAAATTATGTCATATGAAAACCAGCCCTTAGGACGAAATACATGTTGAGACAGAAAATCAGCCTTGTCATGATTTAGGCGTGAATATAAAGGTAGGGTGTGATGACAAACTAGCCAATCAAGCTTGAGGGTAAATAGGAATGTGGGCGTTACTTTCTCGTTCCAGCTTGGTCATATTCTAAGGTCATTTTGTTTAAATAAGCCGTTCCGCACTCGTTGAGTTAATTTTCACGTGAATATTATTTTAGGGTTGAACTGAACTTTATATTACCTGCAGATCTTGTCAGAATCAGACATTTCAAGCATTGTGTTCAAATTTGTTAATTGAGCTGATCTGTCGTAATTAGTGCTAATTTTAATTTCCTTTCCCGTACACAGAGCGGGCTTCAAACAGCAAAATCTATGATTGAAGTTTTACCTTGTGTCCACTTTAGTTAAAATATTCTCAATATCATCTTGGCCTTCCGAAGAAATATCCGCCAAGACAAAAACACAGCATATTTGTAACACCAAAAGGAAAAAAAACATGAAACTCTTCATTTTGACTTCTGTAAATATATAAGATGAAAAGCTATGCAGACAGTATATGCAACTACTGCAACTACTATATGCCGCATTCCTGAAATGCGATTTATATATCCATGCATAGACTCTAGGGAGGTAATATGCCTACACGGTGTTCCCTAAATTTGAGTTTTCTCTATTGTGTCTGTCCAAGGTACAATACAGGTCTACCATAGGTATATTACCATAGTTATATTTCAATTGTAGCTATTTAAACTGACTGTATAGGTTCTAGCAAATCCTTGCCTAAACTTGTGCCATTACGATAGAATAATAGAAATAACCTTGTTCGTAATCTATATATATTTTCTATATGAATTTTACCTTCCAAAGAACTTTTACCTTCCAAAGAACTACCAGTTTAAACCAGTTTGCCAACAATTTTCCTAACTTTGTATAAGTTTACTCCGCTTGGTTCGACTAATTCGACAGAATGCAATAAAAATAGATTCTTTTATAAAACATGAATTTATAAATGAATAATTTCATGCTTGTGCACTAACTCATTAAATGATAGCGGTTAAGCCAATATCTCGTCAAAATTGATCAATTGATATTGATAGACAAGCGATATCTAATAATATTCTTGACAAAAATTAGCCTTATTACTCCACTGATGAAGGCTTGGACGGACCTACAAGCTAATTTACTTAAAAGCAATATCTAGTAGTCAAAGGTTAAATTTCATGACCATGAAGTTCTGTAAATCGGTGCTGGTGGATATAGCACTGATAAAAGTTTAAAGTGGCCGCAATTGTTTGTATATTGCTGTAAACCAAAGATGAGCCGGTCTGTTTAATTAAAAAATAAAGTAAAATGCATTAGCCCATGTCGAGGGTACGAATGATTGACGGCTTGGTAAAATTGACTTGCAGGGTTCAAATATTAATTAAAACGACAAATAATGAATAATGCTTTATCTAAACACGCGGCTCTTCTAATTAACTAAAGAAATTTCGAGATGACAAACATAAAACGGAACGCAAAGGCGCACGGGGAAAAAATTCACGGGGAAGGCAATTGACACCCCTTCAGCTCAGGACAAAAAGAATGGTCAAAAGTCTGTCCTCTATTAACAATTTATTTGTTCAAATTTAAGATTATCCCATCCCACAAATATTCATATTTTTGGCCGATTCGTGGAGTTGCGTTGGTAAAATAAAAAGTTGCACAAAAATTAAGTCTCACTAGTACTCTCAGCAAGACCATCTAAGAAAGGAGTCGATGCCGCATATCGTAATCCATCTTTATCCACAGATATCAAAACGCCAAGACCATGGATAGCCAGCGATGCTCTATCATCAATCTCCGTAATTTGCTGTCCTTTGCTTCGTACTTCATGTAACACATTCTGATCAATGGTACAACGCTGTACTCGAATATCTTGTAAGTAATTACCCAATGATGGCAACATAAGCTGGGGTCGGGATAGCGCTTGATTTGGATTCAGGTTTTCATCTAAGACACTTGTTATTATCTGCGGAGTCACCTGACGAAGTGAAGCACCAACAACAGAAATAGCCATTGCAGGCTCCCAAGGTCTATTTTTTGGGCACTGTTTTTTCTGAATGCAAAAGCGGGCTGAAGTTCTGAGTTCAATCGAGTACCAGGCTTAAATTGTTTGATATAATACTTATTAATGGCCGCAGAATGTGGAAGCGCAATTCCATGTACAAATAAACCTGTTCCCCACGGTTGACTATTGATTGTATGTATCATTGAACACATATTACCATACTTATCCATCGCTACCACCCCATCAGAGTGAGGCGCGAAGCTTGTATCAGTTGTATGACCACCTATTTAAAATAAATATATAGGGATGCTGACCGTAACAACTAGCAACTTTATTTTGGGTTGCGCGTTGTTCTAACCTTGCGAGAGTGACCACACCCACCTTCACTCAACTTTATTTTGGGTTGCGCGTTGTTCTAACCTTGCGAGAGTGACCACACCCACCTTCACTCAACTTTATTTTGGGTTGCGCGTTGTTCTAACCTTGCGAGAGTGACCACACCCACCTTCACAACTTTATTTTGGGTTGCGCGTTGTTCTAACCTTGCGAGAGTGACCACACCCACCTTCACTCAACTTTATTTTGGGTTGCGCGTTGTTCTAACCTTGCGAGAGTGACCACACCCACCTTTACGCAAACTTTATTTTGGGTTGCGCGTTGTTCTAACCTTGCGAGAGTGACCACACCCACCTTCACGCAACTTTATTTTGGGTTGCGCGTTGTCTTAACCTTGCGAGAGTGACCACACCCACCTTCACGCAACTTTATTTTGGGTTGCGTGTTGTCTTAACCTTGCGAGAGTGACCACACCCACCTTTACTCATACATAGTGACGTTTTAATCTTACCTAGAAGTTTTTTTATTTTCTCGTTGATTTCATCCATTCCACCAGGTTTACTCATTTGACTCCAAACGGAATAAGCAAATTCCTTTGATGTTCTGTTTCGGAGTGAAAAATCCAACTGAAATTCACGTTCAAGAATAGCAATTGCATTTGGCATTGTTCGTAAATATAACGAAATGAAGTTACTAAAGCGAATTATAGAAGCAAACCAGTAGAGTCTGGTCGAATTTGTAAGATAGGAGTAACTTCGAAGATCAGCAAATTCCATTAGATTCAGTTTTTCCAGTAACTCAGTACCTCCTGAGCCAGCGTTGTTGGTACCTAAATTAAGGAGTTTAGAACATTCCAAACTAGTACTATTGACAATTAGCAAATATGTGAAAAAATTAATTTTCTCCCGAAGGGAATCGTTGTGCATGGGTATCCAAACTAAATATAATCAATTCATGTTTGTATGAATTTCTCACAGGCAAATTTAAAGACAACTATAGCGTTTGTTTGATAGCAAAATGCCATCAAAATACATATAACAGCACCAACCTGAAGTTGACACAACATAATCAGAATACGTCGTATTTATGGGATCTTTCCAGTTGACTGTGTAAGAACTCATATCAGACATTGTGATAACACCATTTTCCTTTTGAACTAGTGACACCATATCTTGCGCCCAGGCTCCAGTGTACATCTCATTTACTCCATTTTCAGCAATAGATTGAAGAACGTCTAACAGCTCTGGTTGTTTGAATAGTTCGCCGTATTTGTAATATTCACCAGTTTCAGGGTTTGTAAACAGTCGTTTTCCTAAACATAATCAAGAACATTAACAAAATATATTTCTGAATAATCGATTTTTAGGAAGGGCTTGGGCCTTCATCAGTGCAATTAACTTCAAAAAAATGTTGATTTCACTTTTTATAGGATTATCCAATCATGTAAATGTCCTTGATTCATAGCTGGTCGCATGCGTCACATTGGTACATTGTTTAACGAATAATGTCATCTTTGGTTTACTGCTGAATTTATATATTTCATCAACAGAATTTAAATTCATCAAATGATTCTCACTGACCATCTTCAGTTCTGAGCAATGTAACATCATTGTAGTTTGCTGCAATGTTTCCGGCCAAGAGATGACTTAGATTAAATCCATTTTCAGCAAAATACAACGCAGGTTCCAACAATGTCTTGAGTTCGAAGTTCGCTAGCCTTTTGACCGCTGCATCAATTCCTGAAATGAAAAAATATTTTACAAAAATAAAACTTCAGCGAAATCGGTAACGGTATGCAAATGCCGTGACTTTCATCTTTTTTTTAAAATTTGAAAATTCAAATATCTTATGATTTAATTTTTTTGAATCAAAAGTGTCTACCATGCATTAATGCGCGATTTTGAATAAAGAAGAAGGTAAGGTTCACGCCTGCCTGCATGCACTACGACATACCTGCAAAAAAACCAGGCACAAGAACCGATGCTCCATTTGGTTTTGTTGTGTGAATTGGCAATATTTGGTCAACGTCAAGGTCAGTTGGAATATTCCAACCACCATCTAAACTATATACTCGGTTTTCATGATTGTTGTAGTATAGTATCTCTGTAACACCAGCGAAGGAGACGTAACAACCAGCTGCAAGGGTTATTTCTGCAGAGAATCCAGTGTAACATATGTAACAATCAAATATAGTTACTTGTGGAGTAGAACACTATGAAATGCATTTTGACGCTAAAAAGTGCCAGGTAAAAATAAAAATACGACTTTAACCTGTCAGTGCTGTAGCTACACAGGCATCCATGGCATTTCCTCCTTGTTGCAACGCAACAATCCCAGCATGCACAGCGAGAGAATTGGTTGTCCCGCTGACCACACCATTATCATGACTCACAGCTAATGGTTTGGGAAAAAAATATCTTTGAGCTGAATAACTTTTCAGTCTGTCAAAATCTTCTTTCGGCCAATCTTTCGGCGACAAAGACACCCCGTCTTTAACAAAGATAACAAAGATTCCGTCTTTAAAAATCTCAAAGCAATCAATTTAGCAAAGATTTCACTTGTTGCTGTTAGCATACGTTTACAGCTTAATTTCGTGAAATATTAGTTTCAATTTACCTACCGCCGGTTGTACGTTTAATGCTCCCCTTCGAGATACGAAGCATCTCAGACACACTTCAGAACTTTTTAATTGAAACTTAGTAAACTCTAATTTGTCTGCGGACTTCTTTTATCGCATACTTTCTTTACTATTTTACGCCTTAAAAGTAGCTAATTTTACCGTATCTATATTCTACTCTATAATATTTGTGTATATTTTGTACCTTATTTTAATCCAGGGCCCCGCTGAAAATCACCTATTGTGAGTCGGGCACCCTGACAAAATATTGTTTTAATAATAAAAAAACAAATACTTTATAAACAAAAACGTTTTAATCAATGGGTAAGTTATAGGTTTAGTGCAAAGCGTAAACCTTAATTGCCACACTGTAAGGCAACATTTGTGTTTGTAGTTTGGGACATAGAGGTTTACCAACGACATTGCCTTCGTTCAACTTTTCCATGCAGTGCATGTAGCTACTTGTTTATTTTTATCAAAATTTTGTTCTACCCCAACGGGACTTGAGTCACTCTCGACATAAGCTTATAACTTTTCAATTGTTTTTATTATTTTCTTTCGTTAAACATGTAGGTGTGTCTTGCAATAGATTGCCCAAAACTTACAATTTAAACCATTTTGGCTCACGGTTTTGCCCAGCGGGCGATGAACAAACCTTTATTTGAAGTCTCTTGTTTCACATTATAGACAAACGTCATGTCAACTGAATCCCAATCTGCACACCGTATAAAATACTTATATTCTTAAGCTGTCTACTCAAACAATGTCTATACTACAGTTCTAGTATTCATATTTTCAAAGACTTGTACACGTAGCTACTCCAAATATTCCTTACGGGTCGGGTTCCCCACACAAAAATAGTCTATAGACGCGAAAATAAAACAAAATTCTATACACAACAAGACTATATATATACTCACCGCAAATGACTGTAAAACTGCAAAAAGTCAAAATGAAAAACCCTAAATTCATTGCATGACACGTTCTTATACCCAGAGACATTTTACGTCTTCGCTGTTTCCGACTGTTTTCTTAAAAAATTGCGCAACGAAGTAAAAAACAAATAGTCAAAGCTTGGATTTAACAAATAATTTACACTGTGTCAAATTTCAAAATTTAAATGGTGGTTATATAGTCCGGAGATTAGATCTATTTAATCTATAGTTAATCAGTAACATGAAACAAAGTAAATATTCAGTTGACCATAGGTATTACATCTTCAACTGGTGTGATTTTGAAGATTGGTGCAAAATATCACCAAGTTCAAATCAAGTCACGACGCGCAACCACAAATATCTATATGAGTGTCTATGCGCAAGATTTGCTGGGCTAGTGCAGTCTGCCAAACCATCTAAACAACTTCGTTGCAAAATTGTTTAGTTCTCCTTCGTTACTTGGGCTGAATGCTTTAAAGTTAAATTCTGGAGCCAGTTGTATAAAACATGCATTAAAAGCTCGCCGCACACGTGAGCTTAATATAGCTGAGCTGAAGACCTCGCGAGGCTGTTAGCTAAGTAAGTTACTGTCGTGTGCAGGATAGTTTTTTTTGAGGAATTCGCCTCGAGAGACAAGTTTCTCACGTGTGAGGATGGTTTTCGGGCTGAGCTAACTGCCTCTCGAAGTCGTGCTGTAATCAAAAGTTAACTAACACGAAAATGCAAGCTATTGAATCAACCTGTTTGAACGAAAGTATTTAAATGAATCGGTCAAAGTTACGAACAAGGTTTAGAGTAATAATATGACATAATATGATCAATTATTACTACACAGTTTTTCATTCTAAATTGTATGCTTTTTCAGTCACGAGAGTTAAAGTGACAACACAAGTTTCGAACTCGCAAATCCAGGATAATCCACCTGACGCCATATTCTCAACCCCCCGGGAATTATCATTAGTTTGATATTGTTGTAAGCAGGCATCATTAGGCATCACCATATCCGGGTTCCGTTAAAGGAAACAACAAAACCGGAAAACCCGGAAAATTAGAACGGTACCATCCTTCAAACGAAAGAGCATTTCATAGAAAGACTATAAATCAACAAAAAGGCTCTCGCAAATATTTGTCATTCAAAACAACGCCGCATCGTTTTTAATTATACAAATAATTGAAAGCAAAAAATTACGATATTATTGCTATCAGTATTTCCCCATTTGTGTTTTTCAAGCAAAATTTATACAACACGTGGTCAATTTCAAGTCCAATTTTCGCGTGATTTTTAGATTTTCCAGACAGTGAATAATTATTATAGTGTTATTATAGTGACGTCATCAATAGTATTCAAAACTGCAGTATTCAAAATGTGACGCCCCAACCGTTCAACGGCAGAAGCCGACATTTTCTTGATGTTGCATGTCAGGAAACAACATAGCCTATTGTGTATACCGGACTTTGCAGCATGGAATAGGTCGATTTAGTCTACCGATGCTTAGTATTATATAAAAATATGTAGGTAGAAATACTTCGCTTCATAACTGTACAATACTGCGTATATTACTATGTTTTTATACTGAGAATATACTAAGAACACTATAGTTAACTTAGAGGAAATGTTGAATTACCGTTCGTCTCTAAATTGGAAACGACTTCATTCATTCCATTGTCGTTTGACGATCGTGTTTCCGCCGGTATTGAATGCACAGGGTATTGAACAGTTTCCGGTTGTTCTTGGAATTTTTTAGAAAGCGGGATAACAAATACTGAAATATCATCATATGAAGCAGGATCGGTAGCCTTCAATTCTACATTGTCATTAAAATTGATTTCATCTCTGGATATTCTCCACCCACGTTGCGTATTGCGACCTCGAGCAGCCATCACAAGATTTTGTGCAGCTACACTATATCTATAGAGATCAGAGTAAACAAGTTAGGCGCAGTAAACTCTAAAATGACTCAGTTTGTTTTATTACAGTTCACTAGTTAGGTTAGAAAGACAATAACTTATTTCTACTGTAGGTGTGGGAATGTTTAAAGACCATAATAAAAAGATTACTTTCTATAAGACAGTCCCTGTATGTTTATTCAGGATCGATAAAAATGCACTCGAATCACACGTAATAAAACAATTACCTTCTTTTCTCGTGCACGTCGCAATGTGTGAAGGTGCTTTGGACAATTTTACATGCCTGCAGAAAGAAATATATCGCGTAGTGACATCACGGAATGCCATGCTAATTGATACACTGTCGACAATTGGACCAATTCCTTACTAAACTAAATTAAAAATTAGCTTCGTCACAGTACAAAATTAGTAAAATTGGAAAGTTTCGTGGCGAAATATTGTAAACTAAAGTGTTAAAAATATCAGTGCGCGAAGTTGACATATTTTGTCAAAATTAGTATTACGCTCAAAAAATCCCCACCGCTTTTTGAAAAGTGCTGTGCACCTCAGAACTGACTTTTCCTGATTCATGATTCAGTTTAATAGTAGAATGGTCTATTTTGAGACTTTTGCTTACAAAGACAAGCAAGCAAGCAAGCAAGCATGTACAAACCTTCTCATTAGATACTCTTTCCCATAATCCATCAGTCGCCATGATGAGAACATCATTCTCATTTATTGTTTCTTTCGATAAATCGTATATTGTCACCTGAAAATGACATTTTTAATCATGGTTAAAACTAATAGTATTCACTACACGGCCTGTGAACACGCTTGCAATAATTTTAAAATTTAGGTTAATTAATTTACCTCTGGTTCAGGAGTTAAAAAGGGTTTGACTGGAATGCCCGTGTACGAAGCTTTTAAATCAAAATCTCCAAATCCTCTTGTCGTTCCAATTGTTTCGAGAAGGCGAGCCTGAATATAAGTAAAAAACTATATCAGTAATCGTACATTTCTGGTTATATAGCTATAAATTTGGATGAGAAAACACTAAAATACACTGAAATTATAATTGCTGGGCTGCCTGGGCAGTTGTTGCTTGCCAGGCGCATGCTCATTCATACCACATGCCCATCGGATGATTTCATTACCGATTTTCCACTGCCAGATATCATTTGTGTTTTAAAGACATCCTCCTCCGTTATTTGTTTTAATGCCCTAGTAGTAAATATCAAAAACAGATTTTTATTACACACATCCAGATCTTTTTTGACTTGAATTGAGGTAAATTTTTAAAATTGAAATTTTAAAATCTTTTTGAATTGAATTGAGCTAGGACTAGGAGTCAAACGAATTGTCATACCATCCGGTCATATTTCGGTCTCTACAGAAAAGTTTCTTTCCAATGTGTTTTCGACGAGGTTTTTGCTGAAATTCTAAACGAGTGAACTCATTTCCCAACAAATGTGGTTTCATTCCAGCCTAAAATATTTTTAAATATCACAATAAAATTTTATACCAGGAAATTAGTAAGTTCTGTAAGGGAGAGCGCGCGATATTTAGTAAATTCTATTTAGTAAAGTTTGGTTGCAAACTACTGTAAAATGCGTGAAAATATAGACAATATTTACTAGTAATAGCATGCAATCAAACTTCGTAAAAGTACTAAATTTGATATGCTCTATCAACCAGTGCTGGTAACGTTTGTTCATTGGCATTTTCATTAGGTGTATTGATTGTAAATACCTCTGGGCATTATTTGTGGTGAATCTCCGGGGAATGAGCAGAGGGGAGTATTAGGTCTAACATTTTTTTATCCGCTCACATTAAGTAATATTGAATTAAGCCTTACCAGGACTTGAAGTCGACAGCGATCAGTCTCAGGAGTATGATCTTTTGTCACCGGGATTGGTTTTCCATCTTTGCATATAATTGCTCTGCATTTTGATAATTATAGTGGGATATTAATAAAGTAGCTATGAATTTTACTGTTCTTGATTGTTCTTGTGACAATAAACAGTTATAAAGATTTTACTATGTATGTAAAAACATAAAGTTCAACCTGGAATCACCAGCATTGGCAAGAAATAATTTTTCTTCATAAACAATGAAACAACTGCAGTACATCCACCAGTAATTTTATGAAGACTTCTATCCTTATTTATGCGATTATCCTAAAATATAGCAGGTAAAAAATGACAAGATGATAAAGTTAATATATATATATATATATATATATATATATATATATATATATATATATATATATATATATTCAGTAGCCAAGGCAATCCAATTTTCAGTCATGCATGTACAATGCAAGTTTTAGTTATAATTTTTCATAACTTTAGAAATTCATTGTTTCACAGACTATGAACCCTGAAACATTTGCACTAGCATGGCCTGCAAAAGTCAGGCTGACCCAGCCTCCGGCTGTATATAATTAATAATGTAATTTAACAAAATTACCATATCTAAAAATGATTGTTCCAATGCTCCAATGATAACAGCTTCAAAGTCTATTGTAGGAGCAACAACTCCTTGTAATACTGGCAGTTTTCCATAATTTTTCTCCTCACAAACAATCACATCTTGAATTTCATGTAGTTTCTCATGAATTATATCTTGAAGTTGATTGACAGCTGCCAAGGCGGCACCTGCTCCTGCGTGGCCGTCAAATATACCAAAACACCAGTATGGAAGTTTTGTCTGCAAATATATAAGTAAAATAAATTAATACCTCTACCGGTAGTTTAGTCTCAGTTAATCATATATTTTTTTCAAAGTTGTCAAAAAAGTTTAGTCTCAAAAATTTTATCATAGCCATCAAAATATATTTTAGAAAATCAGATAAACATCTGGTATGCTGTATTAACATTGTTGCTCAACATGGCCTTGGAATCGATGCAGTCAAGGGAAGCAACTTAATTGGGCTAGCTTACAATTTGCATGGCAACTTGGGCTAGCTTTCAGGACAGTACTGTATTTATAAAAATTCTGTATTTTATTTATCACATGCTTGCAGTAGTGTTTATATCCATCATAATTAATACATACAATTGTATCTTCTTTTGGTTCCTCATCAATACTTATTACATGTAAGCAAAATAATTCTGCAAATGCTTGATCTTCGTTGACTAAATAGGTCTTCCCTGCATTGATTGTTCTATAATGGACAATTATGTTT